GCACCATTTTTTGCTATTAACATTACCACTCACCATTTGACTCTTCTTTCAGAAACATGATCATTGCTGAAAATCCTCAAGCTTCTCACGAGAAAGGGCCTGGCTAGTGAGAATGCCCTGTAGTCACCTTGTCACCACTTTGGAACCAGGCACCCCAAGCAGAGGCAGTGCAGAAAGCCAGCAGGTGGGACCTCATGCATGCCGAAGTGTTCTGGCACAGGCCTGGGTGGAGGGGCAGAGGTACACAGTGAACTGAACAGGAAAGGCCGGGGCAGGAAGAAAGGTGTGCTCTGAAAAAAGAACAATGACCTTCCAATACCCAAAGCCCCAGGCGTGAATACTAAATGGTTGGGAACACAAAGACAATTGGAGTTTGTTCTAAAACAGCGGTCCGGGACCCCTTTGGGGGTTGAACGACCCTTTCACAGGGGTCGCCTAAGACCATCAGAAAACACATATATAATTACATATTGTTTTTGTGATTAATCACTATGCTTTAATTATACTCAGTTTGTAACAATGAGATTGGGGGTTACCACAACATGAGGAACTGTATTAAAGGGTCGCGGCATTAGGAAGGTTGAGAACCACTGTTCTAAAATCAAACCTGGTGTGATTATAGTATTGCAGTTAAGGTGGAGTTAAGGTGCTTAAGCATTTAATGGTGAAAATCTCTCCCAGACTTCTAGTCCCAGGGCCAGATCTGCTACAACAGATTCTTGCTAACACGACCCAAGCAATGATATTGGTGAGCTCTCCAGTGGTTCTGTTCAGCACACTCATTGGTTGAATTTTGGGATGCACTGACTTTCTCCAAAGCCACCTCCCTCGGTTAAATGTCCTTCCATTGGGGGGTAGAATCATAGAGGTGCAGGATTCCTTTGATTTCTGTTTTCATATATAATTGATTTCAGAGAGGAAGGGAGAGGGGGAGAAAGACAGAAACATCAATGATTTGAGAGAATCATTCATCGGCTGCCTCCTGCATGATCAATCCATTGAGCCTGCAGTGTGGGCATGTGCTCTGACCAGGAATCCAACCGTGACCTCCTGAATCCTAGGTCCCCACTCAACCACTGAGCTATGCCGGCCGGGTGTGGGTAGCACTTCATTGTAGTTGAAGGAACTCTGGTTTGGGATCAGGGGACCCCAAGCCTAGCCATCATTTTCTTTCAGTTGCCCCATGGGAATTTGGACTAATCTTGTAACCACTGTTTCTCAGAGATAGTGGCTGCTCTTTAAACTACCTTATAATCAGCACACGGTCTGCATGGCAGCAGGGGCAACCACAGTGACCTCTTATATAAGAAGTTACAACATTTCTTCTTATCTTTGCTTTTTCTATGCTTCCTCATTTCTCTAGGCAAATTGTAGATGGTCACATTTTACTTACCTTGCACACAGTAAAAAACCAGAAGGGAAAAGCACATGGTGATTTACATGTGCACACGTGTACAGACATACATTCTCTCTCTCTCTCTCTCTCTCTCTCTCTCTCTCTCTCTCTCTCTTTCTCACCTTTAATTAAACAGCTAAACAGCCAGACCAGATGGAACTACTTCTCAAGATACTTTACATGTAGGCAACCCTCTTAGATCCTTACTCAGAGCTTACACTCTTATTTTATGTGTAATTCTAACAGAACTTGTTTATCTAACTTCCATGTAGAATAGAAGCAGCAAACAGACAGAACAAATATGGGATAAAGAAGGTGGATATGTGGAGAGCATGAACGTCTGAGTGCTGAATGCCCAGCCATGAGGCAGACAAAAAAAGAAATCAATTTGAGCAGAGCAATCAGGGGCCACTGAGTTTAGGGCTAATAATTGTTGGGCCTCCATGGATCCCGGCTTGTAGTGACGCAGCGAGGTCTGATCCCTTCTGTTTTGGAGGATGAATCATCCGGAAGGCTAAATTAAGTTCTGTCGCTTCTGTTTAGAAAGCATGGACATGGGCACTCTAGCTAAGGAAGAGTTATGTCTAAAATGTTAAAAACTTTCAAAAAAGACTTGGCTCCCGAGAATCGTGGAGTTGGAAAACACTGTAATCATAATAAAATTACAATTTATGGAGTAGGCATTTGACAGCAACTGTCTCCATTGAGCTGACCAGCTCGATGTGGCCTCGCTCCCCATGAATTGAAGTTGGTGAGCTAGACAGAGGAAGTCTTTTTGCCATCTCAGTGTTAGATGGATCTTATTATTCTTTCCAAAAATATAAAGAAGGAAGTTAGAGGTAAAGAAGAGAATTTATCCGTTGCTACAATGATCCCATGTCCAAACATTCTTCCGACTTCTCCCCTTCAAGCAAGTCCCTGTATTTCCCACCATACCTACAACGTTCCCTCCCTACTCTATCTGCTCCATCCTGTCCCACCTCATGGGTCCAAGGCTGTTCCTGTTCTTCAGTCTGGCTCAGTGCCACCTCTTCCATGGAGCCAGCCTTATGGAACCTTTAGTTGAAACTGATCTCTCCTCTAACCTTCCAAGGGATGTTACTGATCTCTCTCTCTCTCCCTCTCGTACGTTTCAATTTCTATCCTGTATTACAGTGAGTTATTTTTGGTGTTTCTTTTTCCCCTTTAAATTGTGGCTTCCTTTTCTCCATAACCTATAAATTGCTTGAGGGCAGAATCTGGATTTGATCCATTAGCACCTGGCATAGTATCTTACACAGAAAGGGTGTTCGATAAACGCTTACTGAATGGCTACATGAATGAATGCAATCAGCCAGTTATTTGCCCTTAGCATTTGCCAAGGCTTCGGTGTTGACACAGAGAATTGGGGATTCGGGGGGAACATGACTTTATTGATGGAAGCGTTCATGTGGAAAATTAGCACTCTGACTCCTCTTCCCTGAGGACAGTAACAGTTTTCCCTCTTCTTAAAATGTGGGGCCTAAGCATGGTGGCCTCTCTGAAATGAAGAGAAAGAAGCCCTTAAACATCGCAACGTGACCGTGCATTTATGGCTGTAGCTGCTTTACCGGTTCTTAACAAAAAGCCATCGAGCAACACCTTCTATTTGTGCGACATGCGGAGCTTGGGAAGTGCTTTAATGGACAGCCATTTCTTTTGGCTGTCACAACTCAATGTAATGGCAGATAGGACAGTGTGATTATCCTGGCTTTTCAGATGAAACATTTTACTTTCTAAATCTCTAGGCTTCCGTTATTGCCTTTAGCAACGGCCTACAGTTGGTTGTGTGTATTTTTTGGAGTCATTACTCCGCTGGGGTTTACCAGTGAGTTGCATCATCCGCAGCATCTCAAGTAGAGCGGGAAGGCCTGGGAAAGGGACTTGGAAAGCCTGGGTTCTGGTACTGACCGTGACCCTGAGCAGGTGCTATGCCTTCCTGCTTCTCTTTGCTGTTGCCTTAGGAGAGCTTCTGAATTTAGAAGTCAGAGCAAAAGCCACCCCTGTGAGCCACGAGGTCAGAACGGGCAGGCCAGCTTCTGTTCCCTGAAGAATCATTGTAACTCTTGGCACGAACACTTGACATTTTTCAAGATGGAAAAATACGGAAAGGAGAGCCTATGATACAGTCTTCGAGTGAGAGTGAGAAGTGAGCCAGATCTGCCATCTGGTCTCCCAGAAGCAGAGCAAGAGAAAACCAGTTCGTGCTATTCATTCTCTGCTACTTTAAGCACCCCCGAAAACAGTGCTGCAGCCGTGATTTGGAATGCTGTGTTATGAGGGTGCAGGGATACACTAGGTAGGGTCATATGTCAATACACTTATTTTATTTAGAAAGTGAAAAAAAGGAACCAACGTATACTAGTACATACACTATGGTTATTCATATGTAAAATACACGTACAGTTGGCAAAAATGCAACAAAATAGCACAGTGACCATCTCTGGGTAATGCTATTGTGGGTGATTCCTATTTTCTTCTCTATACTTTGCTCAAAGTTTCCTCCAATGAGTAGGAAATCCTTTTGTAATCAGAAAAATATTTATGAATATTAAGACAAAACAAGCATGTAATTACACTCAATGCTATTGGGGTAGTTAAAATCACCATTTCTTTCTTTTCTTTTTCATAGTTTTCAAGTTTACCCTTACAAACATGTATTAATTTAGCCCTGGCTGGTTTGGCTCAGCAGATAGAGCATCGGCCTGTGGACTGAAGGGTCCTGGGTTCGATTCTGGTCAAGGACACATGCCTGGGTTGCGGGCTTGATCCCCAGTAGGGGGCGTGCAGGAGGCAGCCAATTGATTCTCTCTCATCATTGATGTTCCTATCTCTCTCTCCCACTCTCTTCCTCTCTGAAATCAATAAAAAATACTTTTTACAAAAAGAAGTACTTGATTTAAAAACAAACAAAAGAACAAACATGTATTAATATTAGAAGGAAAAACAGTCCCAAATTTGCCCACCACAAATTCATTCTCTCCTTTTTTCTTTCTAATGGAACCTGAATTTTTTTTTTTTTTTTTTTTTTTTTTTGGTGGTGGTGGTGGTGGGGCGGGGGGAATGTCAATATACCAGCAAAATTTTGTATCTTCCAGGCTTCCTTACAGATGGGGGTAGAATAGACATTTGATTAAGTTCTTGCCAATGATACTTAAGTAGGAGTTCTGTGGGTCTCTCAGCTGACTTGATTGGCATGTGCCCTCCTATTCCTCTCCCTGCTGGAACTTAGACGTAAGGTTTGGAGCTGCAGCAGCCGTTTTGTAAGAAGAAGACATCCGCCAGGATAGAGATCATGAAGTAAAGCTGGCAGAGCAGAATAAAGGTGCCGGGACACTGGGGACATTTGGGAGTCACTACCAGGCTGAACCATCCCCCTCCCAACTTCAGGCTGCGGGAGAGAGAACAAAGTCCCCATCATGTTTTAGCCACTGTGGTTAGTGTTTTTTGTTGGTCATAGCTGAGCCAATTTCTAACTAATATGTCCACTTAAAAACAAAGAAAGAACTTTTGAATTCCTAATCACTGCAACCAACTCAAAACAAGGTTTCTGGGTGTG